AGGTATAATGTTCCAAATCCTATTTTCGACGTTTGTGCCGGATCGAAGAATCACATATACGCGCTCTTGTAGCACAGTAGGAGGGAGCCCGGTGCGACGCATATGGCGAAGTGGGTAAGCCCTATATACACTCTTGTAGCGTAGTGGGGAGAGTCACTGATGTTCTTGTACGGGTACTATTGAAGGCCCCATACACGCTCTTGTAGCGTGATGGGATGAAAAGATGTACGGCCGCGGTGTCTGAGGACACTTATCATACACGCTCGAGTAGCGTGGTGGGAAGGCCCAGCTCCCTTACATTTCCCCTAAACGGGGGATATGCCGGAGTGCTGTCAAAATTTTCATTTAAGTACACAATACTTGAATAATTTGAAGACATCATTTGAGCAGTAATGCGAAGGACAACAGAGAACTCGTACTTGAACTGAAAGCATGGAACTTGAACCAAATATGTAGAGGACTTGTACGAATGACAGGGGACTTGGACTTGAACTAAACTATAAGAAATGGAATCCCAAATCCTAAAATTCACAATCAAGATCAAAATTCAAATGCCAAATAACAATCTAATGCATTCAAACAAATACAAGCAAATAAGCAGGGGACTCGTAGCAAAACAAGACCTCGATGCATACAAGCTAGAACAGTAATCCATTCACAATATCTGAACAATCACAAACAAATCTCAATTATCAAATCCTATGAACGCATGAGACAAAATACATAGGGGATCATGATGAATGCAACAGACTCCTACAACGGTCCCTACAAGGTCAATGCACTATGTTTGTAAGCAACAACAGACAATTGCAAAGTGTACGAGTACTACCTATATGTAGCAATCAAAGATCTGTCCCTGTAAACAAATACATTCAATAACCACCTAAGATTAGTGAAAGGTGGATATGATGTAGGAACAATGGCTCTCTTACGAACACTTCTAGGAGGTCGTAATGAATACAATAGGTCCTTTGTAAATACACCCGAGCTGCTTGTGGATAACAACAGTGGGTATATCGTAAGTACAATGAACCCCTATGGAAACAAGTGCAGATATCACCTACGACAGCGGTGATTAAGATACTGCAAAGTATGTTGGGTTCGAGACAACTCGATGTACGAAAAATGACACATGGCAGAATGGAAGAGATGTTTGAATAAATTAGAACTAAACTTCCTAGTGTTTCAAAGTTTCTTCTTAGTCCTATACTTAGAAAGAAAACAGTCATGATATACACAAACACCGGAAGTAACAAGTCTACGATATTAAAGAGCTTGAAAGAAATTCTCTTCAAATAAGTGATCATTAATTCCAAAGCATAAAAAGACCTCCCTGGTGAAAGAGAAAGGGGAGTCAACATCAAGATGATGAGATACCTCATAACATCCAGATATATCGCCACCGGATTTGCAACACTTATACAAGCAGACAGAAGGCGTCTACAATCTACAACGCACCGCCATCGGATCTGCAACACTTATACAAGCAAACAGAAGGCGTCAACAATCTACAACGCACCGCCACTGGATCCATAATACTTTTACTAGCGGACATAAGGAGTGTAGAAGTCTCAAATGAAATATTGTGGGTTCAAATGATAATTACATGCACAACAAAAATATTTCAAAATGCCCCTATACGTGCACCATAATTTGTATACACATAGGTACACTAAAGGGGTAAATGCAATCACGACCCGCATGGGCCCCGGCGAGCGTGTTATTAGTACACATGTGACACCTAGGGATGTTGCGCGGGTCGATAAGTGAATTCAAGTTCGAACATGATCCTTATTTGCGGATCAATAAGAGTCAACAAGGTTCGAACCTTCAAAAATACACGGTAGTAGGGACCGATGTATTTGTTTTAATACATTCATATTAGGCCGTAAAGGCCTATAACAATGAGAATTCACTATTAAATGCATAAAACCCGTGAAACCCGATCCCCTATCGACAAATTGATAGGGTCGACACAGTTTAATCAAATAGAAATGATCCCAAACACCTCGATGATGGCCGCGTTGAACAGAAAATCTCAACCGGAGGGATCCATTACAAATAATTTCAAATGCCATCTAAATACCCAAAATCCAAATCTCCAAAATCATCTGAAATCATAGATATTTAAAAAATGAAAATCAACCATCCAACCACTTAAAGCAAAATCCATCCACCCTCCGCAACAGTTTGCCGAGGTGGACAAATTCAAATATAACTTCAGCTCACAAAGAGCCAAATGCTTAGTCGAAAATATCACTAGGATTCATTCTCAAATAGTCTCATGCCAGTAAGGACGTAGTACGTGTCCTTTAACCGGCGGTATTGCCGCGAAATGGCACCGCATGATAAATGGTTATGACCCGAGTGCCCTTTGAACTGAGTGATTTTGCCTCCAAATGGCACCACGAAATATCATTTATGGCCATAGCCAATACGCTCCTTAGTGGCATCAAATCCTTGAGATATGTATCAATAGGGTATGATCGATAGGGCACAAAGCCCTATGTTAGCTAAGGAGGATTCAAATTTGTCCCCTTAAACAAATATTCACCCTAGGTCTACAAGGTACCCTTTTACGAAGCAACCCATGGCTGCTGACAAGGATCCTTCTATCAGGTTGGGTCGACTACCTCCTCTGACTAAGTAGACCAGGAACCACGATGGCCCGAGACGACGAAACCATGGGATCTTGATCGGGTCTATCATCCATTCCCCCACCATCTGATTTAAGTGCAAGATGGTGAAATTTCTATTTTAAATATCAAATTTTTCAAACATCCAAACATTTCCAAATCCAAACCCACGCTGCTACTATATGCCAGATAACACGTATTTTCTACGTATCTGATTGACAATTAGCCTTAATCGAAAGTTCTCTCTCGTGATCGGGATGGGTAATTAACTATAAGGGCTTGCACCTATAGGAAAATGAGGGCGAAATCTCTGGGTAGTGTCTTATCTACAAACACATCTGCCTTCCAAAATTTATCCTGAAACTTATTTATTTAAAACTACCTCGCCAAAAGAAAAAAAGCAAACAAACAGTAGTGTGTGGAGGCCGGGGCTGAATTTTCGGAGTCCACATTAACTTAAATTAATTATAATTGATTATCATTAATAATAATTAATTAATTAAAAATAAAAAATAATTTTAATTAACCTTAATTAATTTTGATTAATTATTATTATTAATAATTAAAATTTAAAAATTAATTAATTTATAATTAACTTAGATTAATTATAATTAATTATAATTGATTATAATTAATATCAATTATATAAAATTAATAATAATTAATTGCAATTAATATCAATGAATTGGAATTAATTTATAATTATCTTTAAATAATTATTATTAGCTATAATCAATATTAATTAACTATGTTTTAATTACAATTAATAAATATATTATCGGGCTATAGGATTCATGCAAGATTTGGCATAAGATTAATGTGGGATTTGAGCTAATTTTTTGCTAAATCTTATCGGATTGGATTTGATCAACCCGTAAATCTCACAGTGGAATAAATCCTCTATTTCCCCCTTTAAAGCTGGGCAAATTTTTAGGATTTAGTCGAAGTAGCATGTGGAAGGGTAGAAGGATCATTACCTTCACTATAGTGTGCTCCCGTTCTTGCTTCCAATCAAAATGTCGGAACTTCCGAACCGAACAGGAAGGGATAGTCATCGATGGAGTGAGGTTGGCCTGCAGGTAGGTCGTCTCTCCCCCTCTCTATCTCACTCTCTCTCTTTTTCTCTCTCTCGGCTTGTGAATAGGGGAAGGGCGACAGGATGCGGTTCGAAACAACGACGAGAGCTCTCAGTTGGGGCTTCGTTTGGGCTTGGAGATCGGGATAGGAAGTGGAATCAGAAGATCAGAATAGGCTAAGGGTATCGATCTTTGCGAATGGAAGCAATGACAGGAGCTCTGATGGTTTGGTTGGAGCTCGATGGTGTGTGTGTAAGAGGCCTGAAGGCTTCATTCGTTCGGTATTTAACGATGAGAAAGTGTCTAGGTGGCACACGATTCTGACAGCTTTCCTGGGAAGAGACGCAAGGAGCGGCATGTTGCGGATCAATGGTTTATGATTTTGATGATAACAAACATTCTTATTTCTATACGACTGCCTTATGTACTGACATTTCAGGTTCACATGATCGGACTGTAATTTGGAACCAGCTGCTTCTCCGCCTAGCTGTGGGGCCTAAAGGAGAGACTTATTTTAGTGCAATACTTGGAGGGTGCCTCCAAGGAGTGGACGTAGGTCAAGATTTGACCGAACCACTATAAATCTGGTGTGTTCTTTCTTATTATTTTCTTCCGCACTTTTATTTCTGTGGTGATTTTGGTTTGAGTTTCATCTTTGGTTTTAAAGTTATCCAATTCACCTCTCTCTTTGTTAGCCTTGGGCCAGTTCATAAGGGCTTAACATCCCTAACGAACTTTCAAGTGTTATCAGAGCATTTTCTAGTGTCATCTGAGCACTTTCACGGCATCAGCGTAGAACAGTGTACCGTAGCGGGATTTCTGGCTGAATTCGCGGGATCTCGACAGATACGAGGTATCTTTGCCTTCTTTTGTTTGTTCTTTATCTAGAGGTTAACAGTTGTGTTCGTGTTCCCATTGTGCCCCCCTATGTTTGAGGCTTGATATTTTGGTCAATGTGATCTTTATGACTTGTTCTGTGTTTCTTTATGTGGTTAAATTTACATGTATATGAAGACTTGTTAGCAGTCCTGCAACTCCAGTATGTCCTAAACGAAGAGATGTGCATGTATGTTGCCCTCCTGTGTTCTTACACGATATGTTTGAAGCTTGGTATTTTCATTGAGATCTTTATGACTTTCATCCAAGAAACATAAAGGCATCTTGGTATTTTCATTAAGAACATTTTGACATTCATCCAAGATACAGGAAGGCATGCTTTCAATTTAATTTCTGTTTAATTTCTCTGAAATTTCTGTTAGGCTGGTGGTTTATATTAAATTTTTTGTAGGTGTCCAGGCTTAGTTGAGCGGTTTGAGCTTTTCATTTATGGCCGGGAGCTTGCAAATTCATTTTCCGAACTGACAGATCCCATTGATCAGGTATAATTTGCCATATTTCTTTTCTTGATGGTAACTTATTTTTTCTGTTGCCATTTATGTTCCCCTCAATTTAAATCCAGGTCTTAATAATCTGTTGTTGTTAGCTTTGAATTTTCAAACATCTTGTGCACTGCAAGAAATACCATAATATTAGAGGATTTTATCAGTCCATTTTTTTTAAGCAAAATACTGAGATTTTGATTGCCTTAATGAGGCTGGCATTATGTCTTCAAATCCATATTCATATGCTTTCTTATAAATTTATTAATTCATCTTAAATACATATTCATTTGCATACAGTGTTATTCATGCTCTATCAGTTGGATGGTTTATTTTCAAAAATGATCTAAAGATATTTACTTCACCTGTAGTCTTAGACTCTTATGCCTCATTTGTGTTTTTGCTTAATGTTATAGAAACTTCGCCTTCTGGGGCAAATAGAACAACATAATGAAAAGCGAGCAGCATTTGCTGAACAGAAACGAGCGAATGATGATTATTCATATGATGTCTCTCTTGATGAAGACTTCATAACTGCGTTAGAGTATGGCATGCCTCCAGCTTCAGGAATGGTATTATTTTCATCTATATTTACTCCAATTTTCCCTTAGTGCATTTATTATTTTGCTTGATCCTCTTTGCATTTATTGAAATATCTATAACTATTAGGTTGCCACCGCTTTATTGATTAGTTATTATTGCTGCATAGTTTTACTACATCCTTTTACTCTTTTAAACTCTGCTCAAATTTTTTGTTAGTTCAGATCTTTTTCATTGCAAAGATTCATTTTTAGTTTATTAGCCATTGCACTGGGACATTCAACTTTTCGTCTAGTTCTTTTTTTCTTCCTGTAAAAAAAAAACCCGAGCGCTGGCATTGTTCTTTCGCTTCTCATGGATCAATTGATTATTAATAGAACCTTTCTCGTTTGTTCCTATAATCTATACCAATAAGAAACATTAAAGCTAGTTCAACATCATAAAATTTCCTCTGCTACAGATAAGTAATGCATTAGAACATCTTTCTTATTTGTTTGTCAGGCTCTATCAAATCCCCATTTAATATTCCTTTCAAGATTTGTATTTGACGTTATTAACTTTAGTTCAACTTCTCAAACAATATCTACAAACGAGCATATGTGCGGTGAGTTGAGAACAATCAAAATAAAAAGATAAGCTGTTAATCTTCATGTATTAAGAGCTATGGATGGATTGAGTTTCATTCTGGCTAATGAGTGCAAACTCCTTTTCTATTCACTGCAATAAATACATCCATGTGAGTTAATTTCTCTTTTCATACAAGCATAGGAACCGTTATATAAATCCAATTTAAGCCAGGTGATCCCGTGGTGGTCAAATAAAGTATTTTATTCCTTTTTCATCTTCAAAAACTTAAGGGTTGAGCTATTTTGATCAATCTAAATGATTGAGACTAAACCTCAAAATATAGGTTCAATAAGTCTAAAGACTAAATCTCGAAACTTTTATGTGCTCATAAACCTAAATGTCAAGCTACTTCAATCAATCTAAAAGATTGAGACTGAGTATCAAAATATAGGTTCAACAAGTCTAAAGACAGAACCTTCAAAATTTTAGTTGCTCATAAACCTAAAGGTCTAGTTACTTCAATCAGTCTAAAAGATTGAGAGTAAGCGTTAAATATGGGTTCAACAAATATAAAAGTTGAACCTTCCAAATATTACCTGCACATAAACCTAAGGGTTGACCTACCTTGATAACCTAAAAATCAAATCTCAATTCAAGAAGACAACAACAACAACATCATGCCTTTATCCCAGATACATAAATCATTTCTCTCCATTGTGTCATGTTAAGAATCAAATTTTCATTTAAATCTAATAAGGAAATTTCATTTCTAATATTTTCAAATCAATTCAACCACAATATAAAATAAAATAAGAAATATTATTATTAAACAAGTATATGTATACTCTCTAGAAAGGATGTTGGACAAGCTATCGATGCTTTGACTGAATGTTATTTATATGCTTCCATACCCTTGTGGGTCAACCCCTATTGAAAGTGGGAGAGATCGGTCTATTATCATAGTGGTGCAAAGAAGTCTCGACATCTGCGTATTATTAACCATATAAAAAAAGAAGAGGGAATAAAAGAAAAGAGAGGAAAAAATACATAAATATAGAAAAAGGGGAGATAATAAGTAATATATATATATATATATATATATATATATAATGTAAAAAAAATACATACCAAGACCACGATGTCCATAAAGAAGTTTAGGGCTTCGCTTCCTTATCCTATCATGAACTCTTGATGATTCCCCATGTATTGGAGTGAAATCTTGAGGCGCTAAATAAGATCCTCTAACTCCTACTATATGTTTGAATCCCCGATTCATAAAAAGAAGAGGAATATGATGAATTCAGGACAATATAAATGTCCAATAGCATTTTGAGCGTCCATATGTGTAATATAAAAATAAGCTCCTGTACCGAGATGAAGGCAGGCCCAAGTCTTGGAAGATGCCCCAATGTAATGGTCATCTCATTCGGACATGAATTCCCCTCTCCTTTGTTGACCAGCCTGTTCACGGCTTAGAAGATCATAATCTGTATGAACGCATTCTTCATAAGGATAACATAAGATGGGAAAGTCCGATATAATTTGTAAATCAGACAATGTAATGGTCATCTCATTCGGACCAATCCAGCACATATTCATAATGTTGTCCCAATGCTCTACTATACCCTGGATCCATGAAGTCGACAAGTGGCTATAATCAAACATAGAAGCATATATGGCTTGATAAACCCCCGCTCGTCTGAGTATCTTGTGATACACCGTGAACACATAACATGCCCAATAAATATAATCACTCCGTGCTCAAAGGAGAGTGCCAAACATGGGATCATAATTCTGCTCCTCAACCTCATGACATAATAAATGACAACTCATAAGACAAATGATACATGTACTATATGCGTAATTTGTTATTGGTTTAAGGACATCTTAATCGTCATAGCTCAAATCATCAACAATCTTTTCTAAAGAACCACCATCACTATGCCATAATTTTAGAGTAATAATCTAGGATGCAGGATCATGTCCTACCATAATATCTGAATCAAAAGCAACCATGTGAGAAGAAAGAATGAAGGGCCCATCATAAATATCTATCAGCTAGTATTTCTCAGTGCCAAGATAAGCGATCTCAAATAGGAGGCGACTGAGAAAAATCACATCCGCCAATCTCCCTCCAAATATGCTCTTCTATGGGTTCGGTGGGGTGCATTGAATGAGGCTTGATCCATTACTCTGTTTAAAATTGCGCAATAAGAGGTGCGCCTCTGCGCAATTCGTCCAAAAACCGCCTCGAAGCTTACGCAATTCCATCCCTGGCACAGGCGTACGCCTCACATGGACTGAGGCGCGCCTCAAAGGCGCAATTGCGCAATTCTTAGTGAGGCGTACGCCTCATGGGAATGGATCCACCCACTTAAAATGAATGTTTTTTTCTCCTTAAACCCGCACAACAGCAGCTCCTCCCGAATTTTTCCTACCCGCATGGCTCCAGTTCGCGAAACAGAGAGCTCCCGCACGGTCCTTACCCGCCAGCTTCCCTTCCCGCCGGCGCCGCCTCTCTCCGGCGAAGTTGAAACTTCCGGCCGCCCTCTAGGAGTACTTCACATTGGATTTTAGGTTTTTTTTTAGTTTAGGGTTAGATTTTTCAAGTGTAAGAAAATCTAGGGTTTATGTTTTTTTTTATTGTAAGAAAAACCCTTAATTTCACATTTACACAATTCTGTGTCCGTGAGGCTTACGCCTCAGACCGCCTTGAGGCTTACGCCTCGCCTCACGGACGAAAACCGCCTCGAGGCTTAATTACGCAATTTTAAACCTTGGATCCATATAAACATCTTGGACTAATAAAAAGATGGAGAAATTTAAAGGAAATAAAGAGGAAAAAGGAGGTTCTCGCTAGATATTTGCAAAAGGTTGTACCTTGGGATATGCTTTTTACTGATGATATTCTTATTTTTGATAATACTAGAGAGTGAGTTGACTGTAAACTTGAATTACAGAGGTCAACCTTAGTGTCTAAAGGTTTTTGTTTCAGTAGATCTAAAATCGAATATATGAAGTGCAATTTTAGTATAATAAATCTAGTGGAAGGATTGTGACCTTGGTCGATAAAGTCATTTCTAAGAGTTCACATTTTTGTAAGGTTGGGTCTATTGTTTAAAGTGATGGTGAAATAGAAGGGGATATTATTAGTAGAATTCAAGTTGGATGGTTGAAGTGGAGGAATGCATCAGGCTTGTGTGATAGAAAAGTCGGTCTTAAACTTAAGGGAAAATTTTATAAGATGGTGGTGAGACTTATAATGCTTTATGTTGCTGAATGTTGGCCATTAAAAGAGAAGCATAATATTAAGTTAAGTGTTAAAGAGGTGAGGATGCTTAGGTGGATGAGTGGCTTTACTCTTAGATATATGATACGAAACGAGTGTATACGTGAAAAGGTTGGAGTAGCTCCAGTGAAAGATAAGATTAAAGAGATTTGCCTTATATGGTTTTATCACTTAAAACGACGCCCTTCCAATGTCCTATTAGGAGAGTGGATTTATTAGATTTTACTTATGTTAAGAATGGTAGATGCAGACCTGTGGGCTCCGAAAATTCGAGCCCCTGCCTCTTCACAGACCCCTTTCATTCTTTTTCAGGCCGTCAAGGAGAGTTTTAACATGTAAGTTTCGAGGCAAATTTTCTAAAGGCATATTGGGTTTGTCGATAAGTCATTACCCAGTGATTGCCTCATTTTGTGATGACTTTATGATATGAGTTTTGGTTTCCTATAGGCACAAGCCGCTATAGTTAATTACCCATCCCGATAACGTGTGAGAACTTTCGATTAAGGCTAGTCATCAAACATATATGAAGTATCTGACGTATAGTAGTAACATGATTTGGTATTTGAGATTTTATATTTAAAATTGAAAATTTCACCATCTTGTGCTTAAAGCGGATGGTGGGGAGAATGTCATGATACTATGGTTCCGTTGTCTCGGGCGATCGTGATTTCCTGTCTACTTAGTTTGAGGAGATAGTCAACTCAACCTGACAGAAGGATTCTTGTCGGCAGCCATGGCTTGCTTCGTCCAAGGATGCCTTGTAGACCTGGGGTGAATATTTGATTATTTATCTGAGGGGATAAATTTGAATGCACCTTAGCTGACAAAGGGCTTTGTGCCTTATCGATCACATTCTATTGATTCATACCTCAAGTATTTAACGCAATTTGGGAGCATGCAGGGTCTAACCATGATTGCAATATAATAATGTCATTTTGTGACAAAACCACTTGGTCAGAGGGTCACGGTCATAACCATTTATCTGTTGTGCCATTTAGTGGTGAAACCATCGGTGTGGTACCATTTAACGGTGAAACCCCTGGTTAGAAGAAACATGCTTCGTCTTTGTTGGCAAGAGACGGATTGAGAATGAATCCTAGTGATATTCCCGATCAGATATTAACTCTTTATGAGTTGAAGTGATTTTCAAATTTGTTCACCTCGACAAACTGTTGC